ACTCCATTAAAGTTGCTGGTGTTACAGTCACTTAAACAAAGTCTATGTTTTGGCTATTGGTAGCCAGGGAAAGCTGCTGTGTGCTCAGCACTATTAAAAATCAGATCATTTATTCAGGTGCTAAAATATGATATTAGAGGCCTAGCACGTGACACCCATTATTGAAAACAGCCCTTGCATCCAGGGGTGCTGGAACTAGAGGTGCCGAGGTGCTTGGCAGCATGCCCTGGCTTGAAGTGGTTTCCAGCATATACAGGGTTTAGAGTTTGGTTCAATGGCTCTCAGCACCCCCACTATATAAATTGTTCGAATGCCACTGCTTGCATCTAGAGTTGGTCACATCATTCATAGTAAACAATTTATACAACAAATTTCAGCCTCCTTTCCCCGTTAAATAATCTATCAATGTTTAATTTTTATGAATTTGTTTCCAATTTGTAGTTAATCAAAATACTCCATGCTGTCAAATTTCAGCTTATGACTTGTTTGTGACCCATACTTGCTCTCGGTATTCGGTATTCATTATTTACACTGCATTATTAGTCATCTTTAGTCAGATGCTCTTTTAACTGTTCCCTGAGTGGTGAAATATTATAAAAACATATCAAGTCACTAGGCCTTTGATTCTTTCAGGGAGAGGATGGAAGCCATTTGGGAAGCTATGAAGAGTTACACTATTTAAGCCTTTTTAAACCTCCTTCTATTCTTAGCTATTTGTGTCAGGCCTTTTCTGATGCATTACTGCATGCATCTGATACATCCTGGAAAAAATAGATTATTACAGTGCCATGGGTGTGATGATATCACAGGGGGAGATTTACAATTAATTTTCTTCTTATCTAAGAAATTGTTTGTGATCTCAGCCACAGCTGGTTACAGCCAGATTCCCTGTTTGGGGAAGGATGCTGGTGAGGGTTTTGTACAGGTGCTGCTAAAGATGTAGTCACACAGATTTATGTATCTCTCATTCTGCCGTGGAGTCTTTCTAGATGGTGGCAGACAACCATACTGCAGTACTCAGCTGACTCGTCAAAATGTCTGACCTATTTATGGGCCTGCAAACATTCCTGTGCTTGCCGGTACCTGGCAGTTCAAAATTTCTGCTTTTGACCAACTCTAAATGTTTAGCAACTATAGCAATTGTTGCTCACTACACAACCGAAAAGATAAACCAAACGTTTTTCAAGGTCTTCTTCTTCTTCAGTGTCAGTACCCCGAATGGTTCTACGTGAGTGTTATTAAAGCAGAAAATGTTGACTGAATCACTACATGTTTGAAAAAGTAGTTGCCTCTGGAAATGGAAGGGTCACATCCTAACTTGGGGATAAAGTTGCAAAGCTGGTATAAAGCACAGCATTGAAGTGTATTTAATAGCTCACCACAGAGTCACATTTGGGAACATGGTAGTTCTAAATAATAAATAAAACAGTGGTTTTATTACTTTTTAGAAAAATTAATGGAAATATTTTGTAGTGAACTCTCACATGACTAAGGCTCCCTTATTTTTACGGAACACATTGCCAGACATTTATGTTTAATTTATATGGAATTCATAAATATTTTATCAAATAGATGAAAAAAAAAGGATATTTTGTGAATACTTATTCACTATTTAAATATATATATATATATTGTTTTGTGTTTGCATATTTGCTTATTCACAAGGCCACATGCAGAAATCTTTATGGAATTTTTACAAGGTCTTTACTCAGGCAAAACCCCCTTTGGGGATTTGGTCTAATATTTGCTAATTTGCAACACAGCTTTCAGCCATGAATATGGATTAGCAGGGACTCTGCTTTTAGGATTGAACAAATATGTGCATGTAGTTGTGGTTGTGCCCAGCATTAAGGTGCAGATTCTGGTGCATGTAAACAAATACGGCACATGCAAACATGTGCAGTCATCTTTGTATGAATGAAAAATCTGGCCCTGTAATGCCGAAAATTAGAGCCAGACTGCTTGATGTTTAAAAGATTAGATGGATGGTTTTGTAGTTCTTCCTGTGTTTCACAAGCACATTTTCATTGCTGCAGTAAATTTCTGCAGTCACAAGTGCTTACTATTGTGCATCATGTCAAACAGTTAGGTGCGCTGTGAAAAGGGATTACAGGTTGTAGTATGTGAAACGGCAGGTGGGTTAAGCCACTCTGCTAATGTAATTTACATAACATTCAACTGATTATCAGAAGCAAATAATATAAGTTAAGGAATGTTGGAGGATGAAATGTAGGGTAGGAATCCATGTACAGTATCTACACTAAAGTTTAGACAAATATTTAATGGACTGTGCAAAACCAGCATTAATTTCTTTAAATTACATTGATTTCAGCCAGTCTTTGCTGAAGCCTTGCTGATAACCATTGCATTAGGGATAAAAGGTGAACAGGTATTCTCAAAACAGAGAAGAGACTGACATGCCAGGCAGCTAGAATTCAGTACTAGTAGGAGTGATTAGGCTGTGCCATCATCCAAACTGCCCATGGCTGACAAAAGGACATATCATTGGAGCAGCAGCAGCAGCAGACCCCTCATTGCATTGAGAAAGGGAGGCTGGTGTTGGCAGATAAGTGACAGAAAGCTTGACTCATCACCATATTTTATGAAAAGGCCAAACAAAGGGCCAACGTGTAAATGTGCAGTTTTAAGACAATATTAGTGGAATAAACACACACACACACACACACACACACACTCTGCAGCTCATAATGAAAGAGATGAGCAGTGTTCTCTCAGCTTGAGTTACTGAAACTTTTATGTCTTTGTATGAGTTTGGCTCACTAGACTACCATCATTTCAAATTGGTTTGAGGAAGATCCCAGGTCATCACCAATAACCCAGTTCCTTTAAAGGTCCAGCCCTCTAAACCTAGCAGCTTTCTTGTTGCCTCTGCTTTAGGGAGAGTTGCTGGAATGAAGGGTTCTCTTTGCCCTCCTGTTTCACATGGTGACATTGTGGGACGATGTTTGTGCCTCAGTGCAAAGGCACCATGGAAATGTTATCCCATGCTGGTGCAAGCTTTTTATCTTGGAGGAAATAACTAAAAGATAGTAACAGTATTGGTAACACAGGTATACCTTTAGAACCACGCCTGTCATATTTGGCAGGCACAGCTTCACCAAACCCACATAGATAGTTTGCATGGGTTTAGATTTCCACACAAAATCATGTGTCTGGCTAACATTAGTATTTATTACTAATAAACAATAATATTTACATTTATATTCTTATGTTGACACAATCAAGAGAACTGTATGAAAAGTTTCACAGCAAAAATGAAACTGGTACAGTTTGCAGACATTTTCAAAAAGGCAAAAAAAATACCCTGTCTTGCCGCAAGTCGCTTTAACATTGCACTTAGGGTCTCTTCCAACCCTAATCTTCTATGATTCTAAGTCGCCTAGTCCAACCCCCTGCTCAAAGCAGGACCAACCCCAACTAAATCTTAGCAAATGTACAAGAGGACGCCTGTTGAGGAAAAAGAAGAATATTTTCAAAAAATCTCAAAATATGGGAACATTTTTATAATGCTTTGCGTCTGGATGATATTGGGCAAACTGCTGTGGCTCAAATGGTCATAACATTTTGCATACTTTTTCAGGTTCATATAAAATGGTCACAAAATGGAAGGCAGAAATTTCCCAATATGTGACAAAAAAACAATGCGCAACAAGTTTATATTGGTACTTACCTTGAAAATGAACTGACCCTTAACCCATTTACTCAGACTCGCCAAAGATGCAAAAGTGGGCTCCCTTCAAAGCTACCAGTTTTCTTCAATAAATAAGGGCTTGTCTACATAGGGAATTATTCCAGAAGTGCTCTTCTGGATTAACTCCTTGTGTGGATGCTCTTATTCCAGAATAAGAGTGCTTTATGCCAAATTAGCCATTAAACTAATTTGGAATAAGGCACTCATAATCCAAAATAAGAGCATCCAAACATGGAATTAATCAGAAATAGTTAGTTAATCTGCTTTAAATTAACATCCTATTTTACTCTGGATTAATTTTCATGTGTAAAAAGCCCTAGTATAACTTTACCTCAGTACTTTCAGTAGTCAAAATATTCCCTACAAGTACAGGAAAGTTTGGGGCAACTTTATATATCTTAAACAAAACTAGCAATGGAAAAAAAAACTACTCATGCATGTGGATAGGTTAGTTTTTCATTGGTTTGAAACAAGCCATCCTATCTATTGGTGCCTACACCCCATTCAGTCTAATTTTCCTGTCCATTTACTATGGAACAGAATGTAAACTGTATAAAATACAGGATATAGATGCTGTATAGTACATGCACTATGTGTTTTGTACTTCTTATGATCTGAGTAAGATTGTCCATGTTAAAAAAATGTTCATGATTATTTGCGAAGCTCTCTTATATGAGCATCCTTAAACTTGGGTCTCTGATAACATTTTTTTCTTGTCTTCTACTTGTATTTTCCTCGCGCTCTCTCTCTCTCTCACTCACACACACATACACACTTTCCCCTTAATTTTATTTTGTTTTTTCACATATCCAGTCCTTTCCCATCACAGATATATTTTAAACAGAAATGAGCTGGTGGCAGAACTCCCACTACCTACTGTCACCTACAGGCAAAAAACTTGAAACCCATCAGCAGTGAAATATTTATTTTAAACAAACAGTTTTAAGTTGGGACATATTTAAAGAGACCGCTGTTTTATGGTCAGACTCTGCCACTTGCACGGACATCTAGGTCCTTATTCATTGAGTTGGTGAGCTCATTGCGACTACTTGTGTACAGTATTCAGCATCATTAAAGGCAGCAGTTCTGGTGCTTAGTATTTAATGTGCAGCATTATTAAAAGTCAAGATTCACTTGAAATGTTTCACTTCATACCTTGTGATGCTGCTTATGTTTTGAGGTATCAAACAATGGTGTATGGAGTTAGGCTATTTGATAACAATGTCAATAAGATATCCATGTACTCGGTTTAATTTCTACTTTCATTATTTTTATTATCATTGCAAAAAGCTTGTGCATCAGCTGCTTAATAATTCACACATATACATATACAACAAAGGCAATCTTGCTCAGAGTTCCTGGTCCATAAGTCATCTGTCACTTTCAGTAAAGCTGCCTCTTTTTGAAATGTACCAAAGCATCCAGGCCTAATTCAGGTGGTTAGCAAACTTCAGCATCTGCCAGCCGGAGGATATGGCATTGTCTACTATTCCCTTATCCACCATCTTCATTTCAGATCTGCTGTCACCTGAGGATCCAGGGGGGAAGTATTTGATAAGGGTGTGGCAGTATTCACATTCTGAGTAACACGTGTTATTATTGAGTTAATTCCATGAAGTTACAAAGAAGCTACCCTATTACCTGTGACATAGCTCAATGTGTCAGCTTTGCTTCTCTACTAGTTACCACACAGCTGGTGAAATAGAAAAGTTCCAAATACAATAAGAAATCTGGATACATTAGTATTATAATAAGAAAAACATTATTACAATAAGAAATCTGGACACATTAGTATTATAAGAAGAAAAACATTATTACAATAAGAAAAATGGATACATTACTATTATAATTTTTCTATGTATCATGAGGCAAAATCAAGTTATGATTTAAGGAAAATCAAATATGGCCAATCAGCAGCGCTGTTACTGCACTCTGGCTTTTGAAAGGATGTTGTGACTAGTTGTCCACCAATATGAAAGATAACCTAATGGTAAATAGTGCTTTTTAAACATTTATTGTAGGGCTCAAAGCCACAGTTCCATGAATAACACGCAACCAAGATATTCACTGTGAAAAATGAATGAAAGTGGAAATGAGCAATGCAAAGTCTAAAATGTATTCCAGACTGATATAATCATGTCTTTGATCCTCAGAGTTATTTATAACACTGTTGCTTTTATGATCTCAATTACACAAGTTAAGGAAATACAGGATTTGCTGGCATGAGAAATCTAGGCTTTAATCTACCCCAAAGCACTGGGTCTGATTCTAATTTACACTAAGGCCTTTTTCACCACTCTTGCCAGGCTATGTAATGTAATTTGTAATGCAATATAAATGTAATTTAACCCCCATTTAAGGCTGCATTGCATTACCAAAGTTTTTGTAAAGGGACCTTAGCATTAATGATAATTAGGCCCTAAATCCGCATACATAAATGTGACTACATAGTGATATGGTGAGAGCGCGATTTCAGTGCTCTGAGGATGGAGACATGGTAAGAGTTGATGCTCTTACCCAGAGAACAGTGGAGGCATTCTGACTGAGGCATAGCACCTCCTTGGGTTCCCCATTAGCCTGAGTATTTGCTTTAGGTTGAGGGGTTGTCTGTAAGCGAGGACAGGTCTGTCTCCCAAGATCTGTGAGAGTAAAGGATCATCTTTCGGGATAGGTTGTAGATCTCTGATGATGCGCTGGAGAGATCTACAAGATATCTTGAGCTATCTTGCTTATCACTTCAAAAGGTTTTTTTTTCTCTCTTACTTAATTGGCCTCTCAGAGTTGGTAAGACAACTCCCACCTGTTCATGCTCTCTGTATGTGTGTATATATATCTCCACAATATATGTTTCACTCTATATGCATCCGAAGAAGTGGGCTGTAGCCCACGAAAGCTTATGCTCTAATAAATTTGTTAGTCTCTAAAGTACCACGAGTACTCTTGTTCTTTTTGCGGATACAGACTAACACGGCTGCTACTCTGAATCCACCTATAAGGCAACTCCCAGGAGCATTGTACCTCAGGCAAGCACACACCTGCCAGGCTGTGCAGGAAGCCCTGCCCCACATGCAGGATCAGGCAGCAGGAATATGGTCCTGTTTCCTCTTTTCCCCCCCATGAAGGCTATGGCTGGCAGTGGGACTAACCTGGAATAGCCTGTTCTTAAAGGTGTGCAGGGATGGCCAGTTTGCATATGGCCAGGTAGACATGAGGCTCCTTGGTCCTGTCCCTTCATTGCATGCTTTCACAAAATGAACACCCCAGCCCCTTTGCCCTCACCTTATATTTATTAAACTGGTTGTTGTTTTTACAGTGGTAACATTAATTTCAAGCCATTTTCAGAGCCTGTGCTCAAAATGCCTTTCATGTGAGGTGTATTTTTTTTTTTACTGTCATTGATGATGACCTTTAAACAAAGTGTGTTTTTCCTTCTCATTTTGTCCTCTGAAGATAATTACTTACATAGCTATTAAACATTGTTTGGCATTGCTTTGGTTGAACTCTGCTATGCGGTATATCCCTTTGTTCAGCTGTCACTGTGACACTGGGCTGTCTACAGCAACTGGTTAGCATTATCCTCACCTTGTGAGCGCTAAGTGGATATGCTGTATTTTACTGTGACAGCTGGACCTTTTTACTTGAGCCTTATTGGATTTGATAGTTACCTTTAGAGAATGTCTTTTTTTCCCCAATTGTTTATTTCCAAGGTCTCCTGTCAGTTCAGAATGTGAAAGACAAAAGGAAGCCCTGAAGTTGTGAATCATGATGCACCCACACTGGATACCAAATATTGGGGCACTATTGTTTTTTTTTGGCATGGTATTTTGGAGAGGTTATCTGTATCATATCAGAGTGTGGTGAGACAAGAGAGGGAAACCACTTCAAACTTTTGTCTGGCCAAAGATTTATATTAGCTATTTTATCTTTATTAATAATTCCTTGTTTAGTGCTGAAAGTGTGTTTGGTGCTGAACAAACCAGTGGAAGAAATAGTCCCCCACATCCTCCAAAAATGGAACTCAATCTTCTTATGTCATTAACACTGCCCAAAGTAAGAGTCAATGCATAGACAGAATATCCCAGTAGAACTCCAGGCTGACTTGCACAATTCCTTCAGTGTGTGCAAATCTAACCAGTCGGGCCAATATGATCCCCTCTCTGTGATCAGCTATGTCCCCTTCCCTGACTCTTTGGGGTGGCCTCCAGCCCCTCCCCTCCCAGGGGCACTAGGAGGTAGCAGTCCTCATACATCTTTAATGTAGCTTCTGAAAGTAAAATATCCCCCTGAATGTGGGGACTGTGGCTGTGCCTATCCCTGTGTGCAGAGTGCATGGCCAAAGGATGTACCCCCATTGCACACTGTCCAAGATCTACCCTTCATTTATAACATTTTAGGATTAACTACCTGTTAGTAATTGTCAGACTGATATGTGAATAGATACTCTAGGACCAAATTCTGCCCTCAGTTACACAGGTGTAACTTTAGAGAAACTCCACTGACTTCAATGGGATTACTCTGGATTTACACCTGTGTAACTGGGTACAGAATTTGGCCCAGTCTCTCATATAAGGACATGTAACTAAGAATATAAGCTGAACTGACAAAGCATCCTCAGAATTGAATATGAATGTGAGAATTCATTCTATATAGACAAAACCTGAAAGCATGTTCAAAGAATGTTCAGTCTCACCACCCAGTTGGGGGAGGGAGAGGTCATTCAAATTGACTCAAGCAGAGGAGAATTTGCATATTACATTTTAAATAGCCACTCAAGACAGGAGGCAACAAACCAAAACCTAAATGGAAAAATAGAGAATTTCTTGGACATTTCTCTACTGCCTCCTGTTAGGTTCATAAGTCTGGCAAACACAGAAGCCCTTTCCAAATTAAACAAGTGAGCAAATAAACCAACTTACTCACCAGATGGGTTTTCCCAGGATCATCTACTTCTAGTTCATATGCAGACACACATAAACAAGAAACTTCCAAAATGAGGCCTTCAATTCTATTCTTAACTGTAGGGAATGCAAAAGTCAGAGAACAGTGGGATTTTAGCACAGGTACTACAGTACATAGACCCAACAGAATGTATAAATGAGAGAGAGGCAGGCTTACCTCCACATTTTGTCGTTGAGACCTGATGCAATTTAAAAATCTGAAGCATCATCCTTTCCTCTCCCTTTCTGCAGGACACTTACTACAATGGATGGCAGTATGGCCTAGTAAATAGAGCACTGGACTGGGACTCCATATGTTCTCTGCTTTATCACTGGCCTGCTGGGTGATCTTGGACAAGTTATTTCTCTTCTCTATGCCTCAGTTTACCCATCTGTAAAATGGTGGTAATGATACTGACTTCCTTTTGCAAAGTGCTTTGAGATCTCCTGATGAAAAGAACTATACAAGAGCTAGATATTATTATTATTATTACTACAACACACATTAACAGAATGTGGATGCCTGTGGTTTTCCCACCTTTTGGGAAGTATGAGTGAGAGTATGTCAAATTGTTTGGTTAAATAAGAAGTGTCTCCAGCCTTTGCCCAAGACCCACACTGAACCTTTTTTCAGGGTTGAAAAATTGTGGATATTTCTCATTTGTTGTGCCCAGTTAAAGAGTTGGGACAAACATTTTAAGCAGCCCAAATAAGCCACATTCTGTCCTGCTTCACCAAGTCTTTAACAGTGCACATCTGCATCACAATGCCATCCCCAAAGAGCCCTAAGATCCAGGAGGATGCACTCCTAGAACACTGAATGAAGTTTGGGTTTAGGATTCAAATTAATCTCAGTACTTAAGATGTTGGTTTTAATTTAGGCCTCAAGCCATTTAACACTTTTTCTCTTTAAGAGACAACTTCTCTCCTCAAGCCGTGCTGTCACAGTTGTGATAAGAGGAGGCTCTCAAGCTGTTTGAAAGAGATGGAGCTGGCTGTGTAGAGCCTTCTCCAGGAGAGGCCCTCATCTCTGGAAAAAGCTCACTTCCCAGTATGAAATATTCTTGGTCTGCTGGCTTTCAGGGCATGCTGCAAGGAACACCTGTATGTGTGAGCTACTGTGGAACATGAGGTTTCAGATGTTATATCTATGCGGGGAGGGAAGTTTTGTATTTAGTAGGTGGTTCTGTGCTGTTGGGTTGGTCCAGTTTCATTATATTTTTGTAGTTTGTGACAAGGGAACGTAAAGCTGTGAGTAGCTGGCCCTTTTTATTGTACAAATCCAAAAGAATAATTAATGCTAATTTTGTGATTAAAACTAGAGCTGCAATAAATGTTTGTAATGGAACCCAAAATCATGTGAAACTTGCCTAACTTGGGGTTTGCTTAACAACAGGAAACTCAGCTCTGCTTTGTGGAAAGGCTTTTGAAGATGCTGAGGTTTGAGAACATTTGGCAAAAACACAGACAGTTTTAGTGAACCTGATTTTTTTCTCCATTAAAACCCATGTGAAACTTACAACTTTGCATGGTTTCAATATGAAACCATGTAAGACTAAGTTGTTTTGACCTGAGTTTCATGTTGAGTATTTGGGTTGGTTTAAGCCCCTAAAAACCAATGGGTGTGAGCCTGTGTGATTTGAAAATGGAGAAAATGTTTGCATGATGCACTGTGAATGGAAAATGCAAAGCTTTACATAGCACCTAAATTTCTATGTGCTTTTCTACCTCTGTTAATAATTAGAGATGGGCCCAACTTGCCTAGTTAGGACCCAGCTTCAAATCAGAATCCAAAGTTTCGGAGGGGAGTGGATCCTGGATTCTGTTTCAAACCAGTTCTTCTAAGAACTGTACATATACTAAGAAATGTGACCCTATAGCATCTTTCATGGTGTGTATCCCAAAGGGCTTTAAAATCCCTATGAACTATCCCAAAAGACACTACCCCTCTTCAACTAACAAGCTGCAGAAAACAAGCCAACATTTACTTGCGTTTCAATCATATATAACCAAGTACAGTAGCATTTAATAACATGGAGAATGGGAAACAGGAGGGCAACACTGGGCTCTCAACAGATGGAGAGAGCAGCAGGAGAGGCAATATTAGCATTCTACAAATCATCTTGGCAAGAGTAAGTTAATACCAGTAAGTCAATCGATCAACAGGCACCAGAAGGGCATCAAATCCTGCAACAATATAATTTGCAACTGTAACTTCAATTATTACAATTTAGAGCATTTCCCACTTTAATCATTGTGGCTGTATTTAGAACCTATGAATCCTTGGGACTATGGGAATTTGCTTCACTGGCTTAAGGTGGGGAAGTGTCTCACAATTCCACACACAGCTCTGCCAATACAGCTCCACCTTAACCTGCAACATCCCCTTGCCATTCTTTTCCTGCCCCTATCCCGAACAAAGAATTCCACTTGATGCAAGGATTTTTTTTTTATAAATTACATATATGTCCAAGGTAAACTTATGTCCAGGTGTCTCAAAAACAAGAATTGGGTCTGAACAGGTAGCCTGCCCTGGATAAATTAGTCAGCCTGACATATATTATTAGGTATATCTTGGCTATGAGGAAATGCAGTATTTAACATTGTTTGCTTTGAACAGAAATATCCTAAATTTTCTTGATGCCTGTGAAGATGTGGAAGATAGTACTAGAATTGGAACAGTTCTGATTATCTGTGGTGATTATCTGATAATGCGTGTGCATGCGCACACACCCACACCCTTATCCTACCCCGGCAGCTGGTTGAATAAAGGATAAAAGCTTGAATAAAAAGGAGGAGAGAGTTTTGGAACTTAGCATCACCTTTTCCTTCCTTCGGAGCTCTACAGATGGGCACTTTCAGTGGATGGTACTGGGGGTGAAAGGGAAGAGAGTCACAAAGATACCTGGCTTTCTAACAAGTGTGGAATTGCTGAGGAAGATTCAGATCTTTCTTTACTTTAGGACGTTCTCATGCCAAGTGTTTAAATCCTCTCACAAAGAGAATTGGCATCAGACCTAAAAATAGGGCAGGAAAATGATCAAAGGTAAACATGTCATCTTTGTTATAAATCACATCTAGTGTCCTGTGGCTGTGACTAAAACTAAATGAACCTTTGAATTACCCAGGACTGCCAATAGCTATTGATGATGTTGCAGAAATACCGGTATGTGCTTAACAGACGTATTGGAGCATAACCTTTCATGGGTGAATACCAGTATGTGCTTGTATCACCTTTGCGGCTTCACCTTCCAGATCATAAGTAAATCTTTTCCTTATCATTTCACAGGGACACAGTTGACTTCTAACCTCAAATGCTCCATTTAGTGATAATATAGAGAATGTTTATCTTCGTACTCTAAGAAGATCATACTGTGAGATCAAGCATTGAAGTCAGGAAATTCCAAAAGTTAAGGTTTCTCCAGCAGCTTAATTCAGTCCTGGTGCACATCTTATACGTTTGCACAGCATATATGTTTTGATTTCCTAGGGAAGAGGTAAAGGGAAATGAGAGGCCTCCACTGAGAATGTCATACCCCCACCCAGTACATGTTCATATTTAGGGATTTTCAACACAAGTGCCCTAGTCTACCTCTTTCCTTCTGGGTCACTGTGACAGCTGAGGTCAGCTGGGGCACATCTGGTCATGATTACTAGATGAAAACATCAGAGGGTTGAAGTTAGGGCATTCTCAGTGGAGGGCTGTCATCTGTGTGATTCATTATACCACTGGTTTGTACAGACGAATTGTGATGGTTATTAGGTCATTGTGCCTGATGACGATGAGTTTGGTGGTATGTAGGTTAATTGTGGATGAATTTCTTCCAATGTTGAAGTTTATCAATGAGATTATTTATATCTATATATACACAGAGAGAGAATTTTAATATAGTTTGGTGTCTAGAAATATTGTGATGCGTTCTTAAAAATAATTAAAACTTCCTTAAGATTTCATAGGAAAGTAATTGTGATGTTGAGAAGGAAGTAATGCAGGAAGAGTCTTACCCATTGGATGGGTGGGAGTACAAAGAAGGGTTTTGGCCACTGCAGTGGTGGTGGGAGATGTATAATACTGAAGGGGTGAGGGTGGGGTGTTGAGGACGCATATCACACAGCTAGGTCTCCACCTCTTCCCTACTTTGAAGCTGATTTTTGGACCCATATTTTAAAAAAAATATTTATTTTTTTCCAGTTTGACAAAATGTGAGGGCCCCTTACCAAACTAATTTGATGCAATGCTGTGTGACCAGATCAGAACACTAAAATATCAGGACACATTGGGGTGCCGTCAGCCCTGCCCACAGTCCACCCCCACTCTGCCCCAGGTCCTGCCCCTTCCCCGCTCACCCCCCTTCCTACCGCGCACTTCCTCATCCCCTGGCCTTCACTGGCTTGCTGCGTCCCTCCTCAGTCCCCCACCCACTGCTCACCTCCTCACCCCCCACCCGCTCACCTCTTCACCCCCCCACCCGCCACTCACCCCACGGCGCCGACTTCCCCTCTGCCAGGTGGGTGCTCACCCAGCCCCTGCCTCTTCCCACCCCATTGCTCTGCCCCCATTCCACCCCCTTCCCCCAAGTCCCCAGCTCCTCCCTTGAGCACGCCACGTCCCTGCTCCTCCCCCCTCTCTCCTGGAAAGCACTAAGTGTCACCAAACAGCTATTAGGCAGCAGGAAGCACTGGGAGTGGGAAGGAGTGGGGACGTGGTGCGCTGGGGGAAGGGAGGGAGGAGGCGGCAAGGAGGGGGAAGCTTGGCTGCAATTTTTTCACGTGGGTGCTCCCATGGAGTCGGCACCTCCCTCCCGCTCACCTCCTTACCTAAATATCGGGACAAATGGCATCCCAATCATACATTGATCGGGACGCGGGACAAAGGATTAAATATTGGGACATCTGGTCACCCTATATGTTTGAGAGCTAACGCAACAATTTATGTTCAACAGGTAACATCTGGACTAACAACAAAACTCTTGAAAAATAATAATGTGTGACACAAGACAATTAAAATGAAACACAGTCATGACAAACACTTACTGCAAGTGGGAAAATTTGATAACTTCAACCTCTTCACAACATATGGTGTCCACATATGTGTGTATTAACTCTATATGGCAAAATTCAGCAGGGGAGTTAGGCACAGCTGCAATTCTAATCCTCAGTTATCCTTACTTTTAAGGATTGATTGTTAAACATTAAATGTCAGAATCCCATGGGAAAGCACTTAAGCCTAAGTAATTTGCGTTACCCTCATTGTGTGAGGTTTACTACATTAGCAGAAAAGATGGCCATTACCTTCTTGGGTATGAGGACTTTTAGATAACTGGGGCAAGATCCACCAAGGTACTTAGGAACCTAACTC